GCTGTCGCCCGGACGTCCCCAGGCTTCGTCCCGGGGCGCAGGAGCAGCGCCAGGGCCCACAGAGCACACAGCCCCGGGCACCCCCGCTCCCCCCTAGTTGCCAATCCCAGCCCTGGGAAGGTGACTGGACGCCTCCCGCGCAACGAAAACCACCCTATTTGGCTCGTGTAGAACCAGAGCTTCGTGCACCCTTCAGCGCCTCGGCCAGTGGACCCTGCAGTATTCAAATTTCGGGACTGAGGTCCCGAGGCGCGGCCCCTGGTGGCTAACGAGTGGCCCGTGCCCAGCGGAAACCTTTGCTGGAAGGTGGCCCAACGCCTTAGTACGTCACCCTTACCTGGGTGCAGACACCGGCTAAGACCGCAGTTCACCATCTCCTTAAAAACAAAAGTCAACAAATCCTCCTGGACACAACTTCTACCCCGTCCTATTGCTCACCCCCAAAATAGTGCACAAAACCTATTTACCCCTAGAACAAAGGGAGAGAGGAAGAATCAAAACTGAATTCTGATGATGAAGTATTCAAGTTGACTTTACATCTCCTTTATAATAGACCTTTTCTTTTAAATATGCGTATGCTTTTAAATGCCTAAAAGACTAATTAAATAAAGAACATGTTGACCTCGCTGGGTTGAGGCCCAGTTTCTGAGTCAGATTATATAACCTTACTGCACCGGGAATTCTCCAGCAATGAGGCTCTCAGCCGCCAGAAGAAGAAAAAAAAAAAAAAAAAAAAAAAAAAAGCCACTGAATCAAGTGAAATGAAACCAGAATAGTTAAAGCTGAAATCTAAATCCAAATATCCTGCTTAAGGAAACTTACCTGTCAGGATGAGATCTCCAATGACAACGTTTTATTTTCTTTTTTCTCTGGGGGAGGGGCGGTTGTGAACAGAGTGGAGGGGCAGCGAAGTAATATTCCCAAACAAGTAACGCACATTGGGAAAAGTAACAACATATCCAAACAAGTAATGGATATTGGGAAAATATTTAGGGCCTCTACATTTCAAAATGAAAGGAAACAGGCCCATGCAAACTAAGATGCTCACTCACATACACAATTTACTGGTGCTCGGGGAAATGTTAAACCACATTTAGGGGCCTCACTAAATAAAAATGCACTCTAAAAACACAGACACAGTATGTTGTTTTATCTGTTGCAAAAAATGTATTTGATTACTTGAGTAAAATTACAGTATCTCTGTTGTTAGTAAGTATTAAATGTTAA